AAATCTCATCGAAAGTGTATTGGCTCACCAGAAACAAAAAATAATCTACTACACAAATACCAGTTTCTGTCTGAAATAAAATGAGTATCAGGACTGAACATGAAAACTATCATGGTATCAGTATCAAATTCAGTTTAAGAATGTGTCTTTTAAAGTCTTTAAACGTGTGTTCATTTTTGGCCTCTGAATTGTGTAACATACCACCAATATTGGATGTGTTTAGCATAAAACGCTTACTATGAGAATCTGGTAGTCTTAACAAAACATCTTGCTTCGAATGTAAGCAGTATATTCGACAATCTAAAAGAATGGATACAAGACACTGTTTTAAGTTCATAAGTAACAAATCTATAAACTACCAAAAGAATATTTACAAACCAATCTTATTTTTACTTTCTCCTGTAATTCTGATAATAAAGAAAACTTTCGCAAACGGAATCGATGGGCTATGTTTGCTTCTGTAACCATTTCGATTCTTGTGCAACAACCTTTGATGGCATGCGATCGTTCCACTCTTTTTGTGTACTTCCAAACACATTTAATTTGACAAATATGATTAAATTGGACTCAATAGTTCATGGGATGGTTCGGTTTATGACATAGCACGATTTTGTTCTTAGAATTATGGCGATTTTAGGTGTCTAATAAAATCAATTTATCTCCGTTTTAAGCCTTTATTTCAACATGAAAACTATTTGAATAACATCAGACTAGTGTGGTTATGTAGACATTTACTTCCATTTGAAAATTCAAGAATTATATACAGATCAAACAATCATTTGAGGTGTCTTTTCTGTTTCAATGTTTCATTTGACAAATCCATTTCATTTTTTAATATTATTTTCCACGTACAGATCCGGTTAATTCTGTTTCACAGCCCCTTATAAAGTTTTACTTCTATTGACTTAAACAAAAACTATGAAATCTGGAATATTACCTTGATTATGTAAACTTTCTGTAGATATAACGGCTACATAATCCAGTCTCTCTTTAACTAATAAATAAATCTGAAAAAGTTAGTTATAAAAAATTTGACAGTGATAAATGCAAAGATTATAATAATGACTCCTTTGATGTCACTTTTATCAGAATGGGGAATGTGTTAATTTTAATGGTTGAATTCATGTGTCACTCTGAGCTAGACGACCATTGAAAACCTGGAAGCATTGGACTGTCATTTCGTCCTAGTATGAAGCTCCTCAGCAATGCTCATCCACGATCTTGCACTCGGGATTCGAACCCGGGACCCAAGACCTAAAGCGATAACGCTCAAACTCTAGACCACTGAACTGGCATCCAACGTTATTAATGTCTAACTTCAACCAATCCGTGAATGTGCGCTGTTGAGGTATCGCATACTGGGACGAAACGACCATTCAATTCTTTTAGGTTTCCAATGGTGGTCTAGCTTAAATCAACTCATGAATTCAACTAATACAATGTTATTTTTAATCAGGAAAACATCGGCAACATAAAAAAATATTTATTTTGTACGTTTAGTTCTCTTATGAATTTCATATTGAAATCAAGCAATACTAGAATGTCTGGCAAAATATCAAGAATTCGTTGCGTTTTCATCAATTGATCATTGAACATTATCCAGAACCAGAATCAATGAATTTAAAAACAAAAGTATCCAATGGTTGAATAAAACTGAAAAGAAATGAAAAATTTAATTATGCCTCTTACTTATAACAACAATAGTAATAGTAATAAAAATAATAATAATAATAATGGTGATGGTAATGACGATAATAATGAATAATTTAATCAATCTCGTTTAATCATATTCTATAATGTAACCTAAAAAGAGAAGTACTATTCAAAAGTTAAGAAGTGATTCAAATCAATGAATTAATTATTTTGTTAGAGATGGTTGTGTATTAAAAAGTTAATCTTAATTATCGTTTAAATAAACATTTATTTTAAGTCTATCAGCAGTTATTACATCTATCAATACAAACAGATTTAAATTTGACTGTTAGTTAATTGTTCATCAGAATGGGGATTCTCGGAGATTTCAGTATTTCCACAGTTGAAATCATGAGTAGATCTAAGCTAGACCATCACTGGAAGCCTAAAAACACTGGATGGCCGTGTTGAGTATGAGACAGTTATCTAGGCAATAGATGAAGGGTTGCACAAGATCATGGATTGATTGAAGCTAGACATTAACACCGTTAAATACCAGTTCAGTAGTTTATAGGTTGAGCGTTTTCGCACGATACTGAAGGTCATGGGTTCGGGTCCCGCTGAAGATTCCCATACGGGAACGAAACGGTTGTTTAGTGCTCCTAGGTTTTCATTGGTGGTCTGACTTAAATTGATTAGTAATTTCAACTGTGAAAAATATTTTATTGTAGAGATCAGCTACTTTGAATTCATTCTAAATGTTTACTTTCAAATAACGACTATAAACATTGTAAATGGCTTGAACTGCTTTATCTTTTACTATAAAAAGTTACAGACAGCTGTTTTCAAATTCTATTATTCAGTTAAACATGTATGAAATAGTAAATTCTACTGTTTATTTTCATTAGATAATATTGCAGTGAACACCACTGTGAATATCTGAACTTGTTATGTTAATCTTTCTACAAAATCAAGAAGAGAAATTAGAGTTTTTCTAGACTCAAGCTATTTTTTCTTAACCGTTTTGTACTAATGTACAACTGTTTAATTGATGGTCAATCCTAAGTAGTTACGCTGTTTTTAGATTTCAACTTGTGATCTATCCGAATGAAAATATTCCTGTTAAAAGTATGAATTTTAAGCAAATCGAATCTAATCTACTGTTTTCATATATCCAATTTAGTATAAGAAGAAGGTAAGTCGAACATGATAATAAAAGAAGCATATGGTTCAATAAGAAGGAAATTAAACAGGAGAAGTACTTCCTTAGTGAACAAGAACACGAGTAGGGACAATGGAATGCATTTAATCACAAATTACAGACTATCTCACTAAAATCTGATAACCATACAGCAAACAGTTAATTTGAAAAATAACCATCGATTGTCTCAATCTCCACTGCTCCTTCCGTAAATATCTGTCCATCTTCTCTAATTTCATTGTTTATGTATTTTCCTACGAATTGCGCTTCATTTCAGTTCTTTCCTTATCGGTCTTCTGCAAAAATGCATTCTATGCCTGACCATCGCCATATACTACGTATGTGAATATAAGTAGCCCACACCACACTTGGACAGAATATTATACACATTTTATTAGATTCAGACCTCTGTATTATAAAAAACTACTTTGTGAGGACACTAAGAACTGGAAATTCGGTTTGTGTTTAAGAAAATAATTTATCTAAAATTATTCTATGGTATCATTATCTTATAGGTTACTATTCTTTGAATTTTGATAGAAATAAATAATCACAAAGAGTTATTGTGGAGATTTCAGTGTTTTCATAGTTGAAAGCGTGAGTCAATTGAAGCTAGACCATCAAGGAAAACCTGAAAGAAAGAAATAAACCTCAAGACTAAATTAGGGAAAATATATTTTCATCTTTGTCAGCTCAAAAAAGGTTTATTTTAAAAACGAATTCAAAATAAGTCATAAATGTTTCATCACTGTATTCTATTCTGTATAACTATCAAAATGGGTTTTTTTTATTAGTTGAAAAAAGAAAAGCTTAGAAATTGATTGAAATACTTCATCACAATTCTTAATGCTTGAATGATTTCTTCAGAGCAATTCATTGTGAATATGATAATAAAATTAATATTTCTCTTCTGATTGAATTCATTCCACCACAGGTAATGATTCTCAATTAGTAGTTCAGGGAATTCAATACATAGTTAGCCGATAACGAGCCTAATGAAATTAATTATTTATTTGGGTTCTATGAAGGTCTTGTACAGTTTAAATACAAATTTATTCACAAGTTTACATTACCTGTAAAACAAAATAAGAATAATCGTTTCTTTTTCAAGTTGCGAATTTCCGCATACAGTGAATCCGGGAAAGTATATGTAATTTATTCAAGAATCTATATCTCTCTCATGGGAACATTAATAACGTTGAAGGATTTGCTACTGCCCAAACTGTTTAAATTTGTAAGCATATATCAAAGAATACTTATCTAATGATTCAGCTGTAGTATTGTATTTGCTTGATCTTTATGTACCAGTTTCTTCCACATATGTGATGCTTATTTTAAAACAGATCTTAAAACTAAGACAATATAACTTTTCTAGGTAACATCACTTTTAGATGAGAACAGAAAATCATAAAACACCACAATAATAAATATCACTAAATACGTCAATTAAAAGTAACCTAACGGTTTTAATATAAGAAATCTTAAATGCTTTTTTTGCAACGCAATTGGATAAGAAAGTTGGAAATGTTCACTCATAAGATTTTCACAATTTATAACATCAAATAATCTCAATTAGCTCAATCAATAATTGGACTATGTCTAGAATATGGAATGTTTTTCTATACTGAACAATCACAATTATGTTTTGTTTAGGTTAATGTAAGAAAATACTGTGACTTATTCAAAAGAACTTTGAATAAATGTCTAAATACATTTGTTCAATATACTGTGGTATACAAAAACAACGTAGGATTTACCTAACCACCTATTTAGTAAAGACATTTTACAGCCGATGTTGATTCAGTCTTATTGAAAATAATAATAATAATTTGTCTTTGTTATTTTCCACTTTTCATATTTTTTGGCGGCAAACTACGCATAATTGTTGTTGCCTTGACGATAAGACATTTAAAAGTCTATCAGCTGATTTTATAGTAGTCATTTATTAAATTTTTAAAAAAAAATAAGTTAGACATAGACAAGAAGATTCAACAGTAATAAACATAGAAATATATTTATATCAAACTAGTAAATGAGATCAATAATGAGCTTTAATAGTACAATAGGATATGTATGCTTACACATGCTTCTTTTTGTTATAAAACTTGGAAAAAAATTGATCATTATTATTATTATATGTCTCTATGTATATCTATGTTCATTACAGACTTGTCAGTTCATATCGTACATTATTTTGGCACTTATTTGGAAGCAGTCAATCGGGTAATTTTGAAGTGACATTTGTAAATAAAACCAGTGGTGAACGTGAACGTATGGAATCAGCTAGAAATACAATGGTTGTCGGTGAAATCCTACTATTAATTTATCATGCAATGGCAATTATAGTTTTAGTAAATATGTTAATTGCTATGATGTCCAATTCATTTCAAACTATACAGGTATGTATAAATATGGAGTATAAAATTTGAAAAAACAAAAAACATTATAAAACTGTAACGCTTTCATTTTAACTTTTTTTTAAATTATGCTTTTAAGTATATGTCAACTTATTTACGCCTGTTACTCCCAATGGAGCATAGGTTGCCGACTAGCATTCTCCAACCCACACTGTCCTGGACCTTCCTTTCTAGTTCTATCCTATGGTTGTTAATTCTTCTCATGTTTGTCTCCATTTCTCAGCGTAATATTTTCTTTGGTCCTCCTATTCTCCTTTGGCCTTCAGGATTCCATGTGAGGGTTTGCCTTGTGACGCAGTTGGGCGTTTTACTCAAGGTGTGTCCTATTCATTTCTAGCGCTTCCTCCTGGTTTCTTCCTCCGCTGTAATGTGGTTTGTTGTCTTTCACAACGAGTATTTAAATAGCAAATGAATATATAATACCATAATATTGTTTAAAACAATTTGACTATTCACTTACACATTTCAGTATCTGATGAAGAGTTATTTCTTATGACGAAATAATTTGTGTATGAGAAAACTTGATGAAATAATATTCACTAGGTGAACATAATAATCATCTAGGATAGCAAATCAATTTCGATGAATGAGATTATTTATTAGTATATAACTATAATTATTCTATTGAATGTATTGAGGAAATGTGTTTATTTACTGACAAAACAACCAGAATTTATTAATGAACAATTTTAAAATCATTATTTTAAAGTTTTCAATCTTTGAATCAAAGCATCACAAAATCACATAGTTAGTGATTGTTCCTTCAAATAATCTTGTAAATATCTTTGTGTATTCCATCAAATCACCGGGGGCACTAGCAAATAAAATATTTAATGTTCCACTATGTTTTTAGTTATAGGTAACTGGGATTGAAAACCAATCGTGGTAATGTTAAGTTAGGTTTTAATTATTTGTTTAACCATTCAGTTGAATTGTTTGTAGTTATTTAGTAAGAAAATGAATTAGTTTACGGGGATTATCAAGAAGTTGTTATCAGACGAGAAAATCCCATGATAAGACTGTTAGATTTCAGTTCAAAATATAAAAACTCATTTAATTAGGTATTGAAACTTAAAACTTTCATACATCACCTTAAGTACGAAAATCGCATACTAGGCAACTGAGTTACACTTAATAGAGTCTATCATGGTTACATAAAGGAAACTATGGACCCGACATTTCACGGGATTATAAAAAGTTAAATATTTTATTTGTGTGTATGTTTTGTTTAGTTAATTACAGGTAAACTAAATTAAACGATGAATAGTGTTCCGAAATTTTCAGCTATTGAGTTGGACAATCAAACGTTTAACAGTGAACGTTGGTTCAACTTAGGTTTCATTCTGCATATATTTGTTGCCTATTGATGGATTGAATTGTTTCTAAATAACAGACAAGTCAAATGAGAATAGAAACGCGATAAGTGTACTTGCGAAATATGTAGACCGTTCAAATGGTAAAAATGAAGACCAGCAGCTGAAAAAGAGAAACATTGTTCAAAACACATATCTAAGCAATTACATTCAAGGAACCCTGATATGAAACTGAACGTTTTACTTATTACCTGTATGTCTACGTAAATAAAAACTTATTTAACGAATTAAAACTTCAGAAAAACTAAGAAAAGTTCGTTTAATGACAGTTTACCCAGAAATAATCACAAAAACTTAATATCTTTCTGGCAAAAGCACATATTGGACATTGAGGCCATAGGTTGTTCTGATTTGCGTATGACAAATTTCATTTGTTTCAAATATCTAACTTTAGATATTTGGTAGCACTCCTACATATCTATAAAACCAGTAATTAAAATGTAAAAGACATTTCAAATGTACTAGAACCTTGATTAATATAAGTTAACCCACTTGAACTGACCTCTATTCATTCTATTTTGTGACTGGTTGGCAGATACCTACTGATGAAAGCTGCTGAACATCTTATTCTAAAGATGATCAAGACAGACTGGATCATTTAACTAAAAATCTCTTACTTTTAACAATTGGTTGCTATATATATATATATATATATATATATATATATATATATAAATGTTACACAGGTAACTTTTCCCTGCAGAATGCTAAACTGACTTGTGCTTGATACTGAAACCCGAAAGTCAACGAACACAAAACTGGTGATATAAATTTATTCGAAACAGGGAACAAATTCGACCGATATTATTTTCATTATTATTTATTATTATTATTATTAGCTTTATTCAATATTATATTCTTGGTACAATATGGAATTCTCAGCACAAAGTACTTCAACAAGTTTCCGTTTCTTACTTCTTCGTCCTTCTTGACGATAAATATTGAGTAATCGCCAGTTAGACGTTAGCAGCCCAGCCAATCGACATCTGAATAATGTACATTCTTCTCGCTGCATATTGCCAGCGACCGTGATATCTCTGATTAGGCCTGCTGTAACCTTTACAGCGAAAGGTTTTACACTTTTCAGAAACGCACCTGAATAGGTTGTGCGATTAATAGCCATAATGATGTATTAAAACAAACAAAATTAGATAACTTGTTGAAATATCTAGTTGACAGGAACAGGCAGCCCAGATGTTTGAAAAGGCCGCCAATTTGTGATTAATACGCTCATTTGTACATTGATTCTAATCAAACGTGACAGTTGCTTTACAATCATCTCACACCAGGGGAATACACATAATTACTACAAAACCCTAAACTACCAGTTTCATACTGAACTGATGCCAAAAATATCATATTGAATAAACATTGTACTACAATAACTCAATGTTATACTGCAAAAAATGTATCACGCTGAAAATAAAACAAACGTTATACTAAGTAATAATCACACTGAATTAAAAACGGAAGTAATATTATACAAAAACCAAAATGAGTGAAAAGCGTAATTTTTTTTCTTTTTTTTATCCTGTCATATTATTTTCCTATTCATAGAAATAGATCCGACTTCCCAAAATTAACAGAAGTCCTTGGAGTGGGTACAGATTTGTTATGGATTACCGAAACGTTTCTAACTCAACCTTATAGGTTTATTGTTGATTACCTACACTAATAAAAAGAGTTTTTTTGCAGTTAAACTGAGCTTATTTAGCAATAAATCAAAAATATTTTAGATCAAAAAAAGTAAAAAAAATATTCTCTGCTCATTATTCTGAATTTAGAAAATCTTTAAAAATAAAAGGGAACAAGGTAACAAAATAAGGTAATAAGGAGAAGAAGAAGAAAGAAAGAAAGAAAAATAAAACATTTCGATTCTTTTCCATTGAGATTTGTTTTCTTATTGTAAATAAAATAAATTTTCAAAAAAAAGAAAAAAAAATAAGAAGAAGAGAAAAAAGAAAAAAATGGTATTGAACAACAAATTAAGTTTGAAATTGGTATTTCTTTTATGGTATTTACACATTTCATGGTTACACTGTTTCCCATGAGAGTTACCATTTCGAATAGGAATATAACAATAAAATAAATTTATCAGAAGAAATTATAATCACAGTTTTCCTATTTTTCCTTCTTAATAACTATTGTTGTTCTCATTAAATTTAAATTTACTGAAAAATAAACTTCAATGATTCATTTGAATTAGATTATTTAGATAAAGAGTCATATAAATAGTTTTGATTATATCTTAGATAATTAATCTAACTGATTAAGATAAGATTAGTGAACGTAATTATTTAAAGTAAGCAAATTTTAAATGAATTATTGAGCTATTGAATTACATTCATGTTGTTATATCCTGATGAAGACATAAATACTAGTAATTTCCAGGACCTATTACTTACATACTTACGCCTGTTACTCCCAATGGAGCATAAGTTGCCGACCAGCATTCTCCAATCCACTCTGTCCTGGACCTTCCTTTCTAGTTCTATCCAATTATTGTTCATTCTTCTCATTTCTGTCTCCGTTTCTCAGCGTAATGTGTTCTTTTGTCTTCTTCGCTTCCAGGACCTATTAATGGACTATTATTCTATGTATATTCTTATTGTTTAACTATTGAATAACTAGATTGTGTATATCTATATTCATCTTATTATAAGCTTCATTTTGACCTATGGATTATTTTCATGCGAATTACTGTCCCTAAATTATATTCAGTTTATTGATTATTGTATCCCACGTTCACATCCACATTTGGCTTGATCTTGTACAAATATTATTTTCTATTTTATGGTGTGATGTGGTCTGTCTGTCTGGTATATAAACCGAGTATGTTTGAAATAAATGATTCGCATAGATTCGTATATTAGGAGCTGCAATTGGTGTTCTGGACTCTATTGGAAGGACTAGGCGGACTAGAGACCAATAAGGACGCTAGACTATTCATACTGGTCGAACGTCATTGATTTGTCACAGTGTTAAGATCGGGAAAGTCGTATTTCGATTGGTGAACAAATCATGTTATAAAAGCCGGACATAAAATCAATAACGAATTAGCATACTATCTGTTCTTTATAAAGTCATAACACATGTATTGTACTGAACTCTGTAATATTTTTTTAAGAGAATTCAAATGATAAACGTTACATTAACTGGAAGTGTAATCTCCTAGATATTATATTATTTAGTATGTGTCGTTTCTACCTACTTCAATAGATTCTTTCGAATAATTTATACTAAACAGTATAATTGGTTGACATCGAACAGGAATTTTTAAACCTTTTCATATGGCCTAAAAACGTACTAGTGACATGTTTATTCAACAAATTCAACAAATATAAGCGTAAACTCAGGGTTGAATGGATGAAATTTGAATTTAATAAATCATAATGGTGGTTTCACTTTTAAAAGTAACGTATATTCGTCGTTGAATATAAGGCGAATTTTTTTAGTTCAGTAACATTTCAGGATCACCATCAGTTTTGATTAAAATTACTTAAACAATTTATACAATAATATTTTTTATTATTCCCTTTGACGGTAGTTTTAAGGAGAAATGGCGGCTTTGTGTATAAGACATTATAATTTCAGTTAAAAAGTCATAATTTCCAATGGTGCTACACTAAATTCAGTTTGAACACCCAGGTAGCCTGACTAACTCTTACATAAATAATGTGACCCAAAACAGTATTTAAATCTGTGATTGATGAACAAGTTAGATTTATTTGAGGGATGGTGGTTTAGTGGTTAGAGCATTCAGCTTTTAACCGACAGATCACAAGTTCAAACATGAACTCGTACACAGTATATGACTCACATTATTACGGTAGTTATTTTCTGTAGTAATCATTGCTTATACCGAAATGTAAAATACTTTACATCCATCAGTTAGATACTGCGTTCAATATCATTTTCAAATCTCTGATATTTAAAAATCAGACGAATAAAGACAGCCACTTTAGCCTGGTCGAACGATATAAATAGTAGTTAACTTGCATGTAAATTACGAAACTCGTAATATGGTATGTTACCTAACTAGGAAATATTTATTGTCATTTATTTGAATGGTACTAAAAATTTATTCAAGTAATAAAAATTTCATTGGGGAATGGTATATGCCATTTAAGCTAAAATGGGAAAGTATAAAATTACCAGTTACTAACTGTTCCAAATCCACAACGCTCAGATAACTGAATCTTGGGCCGTAAATATGCTAACGATATATAGTTTTTGAATATATGAAATCCACGTAATGAATGAACGTCTATATTCTTTGTTTTAGAATCATGCAGATACAGAATGGAAATTTGCTCGAAGTAAACTATGGGTCGGTTATTTCGATGAAGGATCAACGCTTCCACCACCGCTAAATACAATTATAAGCCCTAAATCTGTAATTAGATTCTTATGTGGAATATTTCATTTTATAATCTTATTGATAAAAAAATGTCGAAATTGTAAATTGTCAGGAAATGGCAGTAGTAATAATAATAGTCACAAGCAAACAAAGTTAAACACATTGAATCTCCATTCAAATCAACAAAAAAGTCAAACACAATGGGATATTGAAATTCAAGAAATGAACAGAAGTGGAATTTTTTCCAATCCTGATGTAACGAATAAACAAAAACAAGTAAGAAAGAAAGCTTTTTCAAAAAAAATAAATTTTAGGAGATAAACTTTTTTAAATGCACAGTTATTCCTATCATTGAATTTAATTTCATTACAAAGAAAAAAGGTATGCCACTCTGATAAAGTTTGCAACAAAAGTTACTCCTTAGTATTGTTTGTCTGAATCTTCCCATTGATGTTTAGGACTGCAACTGCTCAGTCTCTAATTGGCATATGTGCATATTGTGCGTATTGCCTCGATATAGCCTAAATTCACAAGCAATGTAAGCAAAGATGGATAGTGGCTGGCAGTAGAATCCAGGACGCTGACGAATACCAAATAGAACGAAACGCGCGTCCTGGATTCCACTGCTAGCCACTATCCATCTTTGTTTACAAAAGTTGCCCCTATTTAAATACTAACTAATTGTATCACTTATTTTATTCAGATTAACGTTAATTGAAATCATACATATTTTGTGTAAGACACTCAATGAACAAAAAGGATTAACTAACCTTAAACTAACCAGAAGAAAAAATAGCTACACCATTTCATTGATTATTCCATTATTATGAAGGTTAGGAAAATAAATCAAGAGAAACAATTAAACGATTGTCGATAATATTGTTCCGATTTCTGAAAATAATAATATTTTACCTATGTAATAAGATACAATAGAATCTTTCTAAAATTTTATATCTTCACTGCTTGCACTAACCAGTAAAGTCAAACTATACGGATGTATTTTGTATAGAGCAGAATAAAAAAGTTTAGAAGGGGATTTGTGGAGATTTCAGTATTTTTCAAAGTTGAAATCATGAGTCAATTGAAGCTAGACCACCATCGAAAACCTAGAAGCATTGGACGGCCATTTCGTCCTATTTATAAATCAATTACATAACTATATTTAATTCAGCATTTAGTTAACCTTTAAAAAAAAGAAAAGATGATTTTTAGAGGAAAACTTTATTTATTTATTTATTCACTAACTGGTGTTACTAAATGATCAGATTGAATAATCTACATAAAAGCCGACTTGTTTAATAATATAAAATCAATAATATAATGATACTAATTAGTAAATATATGAATTGAGGAAAGTGTAATCATTGAAAATTATACAGTAATTCTGGTTACTAACTAAAATTCATCCAATTCTTATCCAAATCTTAAAAAAATAACTAAAATAATTTGATAAATGAGAAGTGTTTACACTTTTCTTATCTATGAATGCGTTAATTATGAAAATCATATTATCATATAGAATAATATTAAATTTAGACGAATAAAAGTAATTTAATATTCAACAATCACAAGGGGGTTTTTGTGGAGATTTAGTAATTTTATAGTTAAGATCATGAGTCATTGAAGCTAGACCACCATGGAAAACCTGGTCTGTTGTGAAATATCAACTCACTGAAGACATTGGTGAATGGTTGCTCAATTTAGTGGATTGGTTGAGGTTAGACATGCCAGCTCAGTGGTCTATCGATTAAGGGCTCTGGCTCGAGACTGGTAGGTCCTGGGTTCGAATCTCGCGAGAGCGGGTTCGTGGATGCGCACTGCTGAGGAGTCCCATAATAGGACGAAACGGCCGTCCAGTGTTTCCAGATTTTCTACGGTGGTCTAGCTTCAATTGACTCATGATCTTAACCATAATATTCAACAATTCTAAAATAATATAGTATTCCAACAATGTATATATATATATATACATGTATAATTTTATTTATTTAAACACATAAATATTGGTACATAGGGGCAACAGATATGTATGCGCCTCACAAATCTCATCTGATTTATGTGAGGGCTGTGATATTGCACAGGTGCCCAAACCTAAACAGGTGGTTCTCTTAGGAGGCCACACCCGGAGTCTTTGACCTAAAGATCTAATCCACAAGGCAGTGGATCATCGTAAGGAGATGCAGTCCCATGGTAGCTGGTGACCGACGATTGATTCATACGCCATTTGTTCCTTCAGGATACTGGTACCCATATACACCATTGATTTGAAATCAGAGTTTTCCAACTCCCCTAGGTGGACTTTCTGTATCCATCAACCCGATTAAAACGCCGAACATTTGCTTTTCGTTCTCTCAATTTCGTAGGTAACACCCCCGCCACGAGAAAGAAGTAAGTAGGACAGTCTATTAGTTAGAAATTAATTAATCGTTGTATCAATTTTATTTTCTAAGAGTATTAGTTTTATTGAACATCTTCAATGACAAATAAAATTTATCTGGTTGATTACACTATGTTTACTAACGTTTATTTCTTTTTTTTACTATTTCAGCAGTCTATAAAAGAAACGAAACAAAGTAAACGAAAAACATTTTATCAGGTTAGAAATATGATTAAATTAATGTAAATTGCTTTAAAAGACCACTAAATATATTGACCAATACTATTGTTGTTTTTTTGGTAAGAGGTATTTCCTGGAGTTCTAGTGAGAAGCAGTGACTAGAGAAGTTCAACCGAATCTGTTGTGAGATAGTAACTCACTGAAGACAATGGTGGGTGTGTCTCACAATTACGTGGATTAGTTAAAGTTAGATATTAACACCGTCCTAAACATCAATGGGATAATTCAAACAAACAATAATAAGTGAAAATTAAAATAATTGTTTATTTTTAAAATAAGAATTCTAAGTTATTTTTTAAGGTGAATTGACATCGATTGTTTCACTGAACAAAAATTAGATTTCAGAAATCTTTATGGTGAAAAAATCGAAATGTAAATTGAAATTGAAAACTTGCTAATCATATTTGGAAATACATTTATAATGATTAAATTTAAATGTTAACTTTTGGAGTAAAAAAATATATGAAATACTTCACTTCACGCTAAATAAGAAATCTTATATTGTACTGTTTGATATTTTTGATACTTTTGATATTAAAAAATTTTATAATCCTGATTACTATAATATTAATTACTTGCTTATCACTCGTCGAAGAGAATTGGCCGTCTACCAGCGTTTTTCATCTAACTCTGTCTTTAATAATCCTTTCTCGATGCCATTCATTCTTTCGATATCTGTTACCCCTCGTTAAGGAGCATAGGCCGCCAATCAGCATTCTCTATCCAACCCTGTCCTAAGTAATCCTTTCCAGTTCTTTCCAGTTAACATTCATCCTTTTCATATCTGCTTCTACTTCCCGGCGTAATGTGTTTCTAAGTCTTCCTCTTTTCCGCTTCCCTTCGGGATTCCAAGTTAGGGTTTGCCTCGTGATGCAGTTTGATGATTTCCACAATGTATATCCCATCCACTCCCAGTGTCTTTTACTAATCTCCTCTTCATCTGAAACTTGGTTTGATCTCTGTCAGAGTAGGTCGTTGCTGATAGTATCCGATCAACGGACATTGAATATCTTGTGTAGACAATTGATGATAAATACTTATACAGTTTTGATGGTGGTTGTAGTAGTTCTCCAAGTTTCAGCTCCATACAGTAGAAGTATCTTGACGTTCGTATCGAAAATTTTGAATTAGATGTTGGCTTGCAGATAGTTGTTTTGAGTTTCATATGTTCTTCAGTTGTAGAAATGGTGTCTATGCTTCGTCAGTCCTTGACTTTATATGTACGTCAGGTCCCCCTCGTTCATCAATGATACTGTCCAGATAGGTGCGTGAAGTGTTCCACCTCTTCCAGAGTTTCTCCATCAAGTGTGATTGAGTTGATGTTCTCTGTGTTGTATTTGAGGATTTTAGTTTTCCCCTTGTATATGTTGAAGCCTACTGATACAGAGACTGTTGCTATATTGGCTGTCTTTACCTGCATTTGTTGGTGTGTATGGGATAGACGGACCAGGTCATCTGCGAATCTCGAATCGTCTAGTTTCATGGAAGCTCTAGATTGCATTCTATGCTTCCCCCCGAGACGTGGTCTTTATTATCCAGTCAAACACCAGAGGAGAAGGGGGGAGAGTAAGCAGCCTTGTCTGACTCCGGTCCTTACTTAGAATGAGTTTATCAGCTGTTTTCTAAGCACGAATGCAGTGTAATACGTCGTATGAATTCCGTATGATGTTGACTATCTTCACCAGTAGGCCATATTAATTATATCTACTTTTTCAAGTTAAATTTTACCCATTTTGGACTAAACAGCCAAACCTTTCGAATCTTCATAACCTGACTTCGATCAAATAATTTTGAAATCGAATACAGCGTAATAAGCTATTTTGTCTTTCGACAGAATAACCCCGGAATGAATTAGTTCTCTCATGTAGAAATCATCAAATATTAAGACTATGTTATGATAATATTTTCTACATCCTCTACAATTCATTTTTACTAAATGTCTAATGATGTTCTTCTGTGCTGATAAATTGAATGATTGTAGAACAATATTCATCAATATTCATCATCATTCACTTGATATTGCCAACAATTACACATAATATTACATGTACTATTGATAAAAGGCTAAGAACATTATGTACCTGAAACCTTGAAGACTATTCACTAAATTCTAATATCAATTGGATGTTCTCTCTCGTTTCATTTTCTTCATTATCATTATCGACTTCATTAGAATCGTTTATACATTTTTAGTGAAGTTTTTTTTGGCCATCAGATTACTGTATTTCACAATCGCTCATATACATATATAAAGATGGCATTTTTGGGCGTTGCTATTACTGATATATTATGTATAGTTTATTTGAGAATAAATTGCTGTTACCACCTACTTGAATAATGATCAGTTATATACTGGATACCTATTTTGAAGCAAAAAGAGTAAATGAGATACAAAAATGGGTTGAAAAAAAAGACCAATAGATTAGTATGATTTATCACATTGTCTCTCTTCTAATTATGCATACTACATGTGAATATATGCACAAATTTATTGAATAATTTTTTTAGAATTATTCCCATGCTCACTAATAGAATTTTTCTTAATAGGCCTTATAACATGATCAGTACCTAAGAATATGAATTTTTTTGCAATTGATAGATTATACTAAATGGATTTCCTAGAAACCAGTTACATTTACATTGCATGACTATTAATAATAATAATAATAATATTAGGATCGATAATAATTAAAGAGTAATATTACTATTAATGATATAGGTGGTAACCATGTCTTCTAGAAGATAAGTGAATGACACTTTTCAGCTAAATAGTTAATTATTACTGATAAGTAGTAACGCAATCAGTCTAACACTTTCATAACAACAATATACTGACATTTTAGTAAGGATTATCAAAATTAAGCAAAAATATTGCTTTGAAAAGAATTTAGTTTCTTATTAAAAAAAATTATTTATTCATAGTGAACAATTTAGAATAGAACTAAACAAATACTCACGACCTCGCTTCGCGAGATTCGAATCCAAGACCTACCAGCCTCGCGCCGGAGCACTTAACCGATAGACCACTGAGCCGGCTGGCGTCCAATGATGTTAATGTCTAACTCCAACCAATCCACGAAGTTGAGCAACCGTTCACCAATTGTCTTTAGTGAGTTCTTATCTCACAACAGACGTGGTTTGAATTCCACTGGCCGTGGGTTCGAATCTCGCGAGGCGAGGTCGTGGATGTGCACTGCTGAGGAGTCCCAAAATAGGACGAAACGGTCCTCTAGTGCTTCCAGGTTTTCCTTGGTGGTCTAGCTTCAATTGACTCACGCTTTCAACTATGAAAATACTAAATCTCCACAAAAACCCCTTCTGATAATAAACAAATATCAACTACAACATTTTAAGCTATTGTTCGAAAAATCAACAGATTAAATTTCCCACAAGTTTTTTATGGAGCGTTTTTGGTTCATTTAAACAAAGAATATATTTGTGATAAGCATAAAGTGGGTGCCAAGAATTTCGGGAAAAAAGGAGATAAATGGTGATTTTAAATCATACTGTGATATATATATACGTTTCATGGGATATTAAATAGCTATGATATGAATTCTTTTGAACTGCAAGCGATGTTCTTATTGTGTTGTTTCCATTTGTTTTTTTTACAATCACATGGATTCTTATCAAAATCATTTGAATTGCCTAAAACATTTTTTAAAAAAAACAATCTCTTAAAAACCAAACATTCGAATAACAGAAAAATCTCAAAGGTTTCCATAAGTTAAAAGAATTTCAATTATTATTCTATTACAAAAAAGACTAAAATATTGAAATAACGAATTGACAAAGTTTAATCATCATCATCGAAAATTCCGAATTATCTAAAGAATCTAGTAATTTCTAAGGATGATAAGTGACAACACACAATTACTTGAATAAAACAGGCCATAAGATTGATCTTAACTCGGCTTTTTTGATGTTGTACAAAAGTGTAAAAGGGCGTATACTAAGGTTTATTGAAGCCTTAGCCATGTGAAAATTCAAACCCTCTTTGTGTATTCAAAATCAGTCTGTTCTCACCTTAAACCTACCTTGATAATATTAGCTTATCATCCAGAGTGATTAGGTTTCAAATTGTTTTGACATTATTTTTATTATTATTATAGTTAAAATCATGAATCAATTGAAGCTAGACCACCAAGGAAAACCTGGAAGCACTGGACGGCCTTTTCGTCCTAATGTGGGACTCCAGTGCTTCCAGGTTTTCCCTGGTGGTCTAGCTTCAACTGACTCATAATTTCAACTATGAAAATACTGAAATCTCTACAAAACCCTCTTCTGATTTTTATTATTATCCTTGTCTACTCTTACCGCTCCCATTTTCAGTCTAGTTGACCTTTTATTTTTATATATAAATATTCTTAACAAGTATATGTGTGATCAGATTGTTCAAAATGTATTGCGCTAATATATCACATAGTTCTGATAATCTTCGTCTTCTTATTACACTATTGAATAAAACTAGTTAATAAACGATCAGTAGGATTTGCTCCGATATTTAATATACTATTCTACACTATTTAATAATTACATGAAGGATATATATAAATGATGTTAAGGAGATCTCATGTAAAACACAACAATAGCAACAACTATGGATGATAATACGAAACCCGGTTGTTTTTTCTTTGTTTTCAAGGCAATCAAAAGCTCCGATGAAAATTTACTAAAACTCTACCTCGCCCTATAAAAATGGTTTACTCACGAATCAAATGAATAAATCATCATAATGTTTTTCATAAACTAGAAAAAAACACCGACTAATTACATATGTGTGGGGTAGAAGTGTTTTTTTTTCAATATAAGATGGCAATTCGTACACAAAAACAAAACAAAACACAAACATTTATTCAAGTATCAACAGTAATTATAAAGGAGTTTAATATTTTTTGACGCTAGATTTTTAAAATTTTGCTATTTATAGTTATTGTATGTACCGAAACTACACAGTAAAAGATACATTTAAATAGTATCATACTATAAAATAGGTCTCTGAGCAATATCGTCCTTAAGATGAATTAAAATAATCGTCAAATATCTGAAGTCAAGTATTGCCCACTAAATGTTTAAGGCCATCAAATAATAAATTTTATTTAAGTGAAAAAAGCAATTAATTCCATCTAATATTCATTTAAATTAAAAGTAGCCGAATGTATCCCAATTAAAACTAATTTTACTTGAAAGTAATGTCACCTTCACCAAATATTTTTTTAATTACCCTTGATACTCACAAATGCTCTTTCGATTTATGCTACTCAATAAATACGAGTAGTTCAAACAAAATACATAATGAAAGTATGAAACAATAATAATTACTCATATTTGTTCCAATAAAGTATTCGATTCTGAATAGAATACTGTGGAAATATGGAACGACATTCGTAATTTATGGAACTGAAGACACTGTAAGTGTCTGGCAAGCATTCAAACAAAACGTTTATATTCACATACTTATACTAGAACATTACTAAACTATACACCAAACCAATGATTAGGGTTTAAGTTTGAGTCAATCAGTTAGATTATAAAAGCCTATATATTATATGACGTAGCTCATATGACAAATCCGGAATGGGTGATTGGTTATAATTGGGACATAAACTAAAGATTATATATATAAGTAAGGTAAATGATTAAACACGTATATCTATTAAAATATAGAAATAACGAGTGAACTACGTTCATGAACACTTATTTTATGGTGTACAATCTGAAATGGGTTTACATACATTTAAAATCTAGATTCATACTTCACTTGAGTTGTAAAACAGTGAACTACAAGATATATCCCGTAAGTGCAATTTTTCCATCATACATACAACCACTGTATTTAGAACTTCCAATTTTGACTAACAAAATCGAGTACACATTTCAGCTCAAACCAATAAAAATGAATTCTATCTGTGCAAACTCTAAAAATCACTCCATTCACTGTTAAACAACATTCCAAGTCACTTATATACAAGAATCCTTGAAAAAGCTTGGACCAGATTGCCAGGCGAAACGTTGGATTTACTACAAATTCATTCGCTGAGATTTTACAAATATATATTATTCCTATTTAATCCTTGTTTTTGTTTGCAGACAGTTATGCGTCGACTTGTAAGAAGATATATACATCAATCGAAGAAAACAATGAGACAAGATGGAGTGAATGAAGATGATCTATTGGAAATCAAACAGGATATATCAAGTTTGAGGTAAGAAAAAAATTGGCAAATTACTATAACGGTAATAATAATTTATTTGTGAGCAATATACACTATTCTATATGAAATAACAAAGTACAATAAATGGATGACGGAATGAATCTATAACCTCCCATGTACACCAAAATACAATTTGTAAGAATTGAAGTCAAAAATAATACAATGGTCAATTATACCGCCGAAGTTTTAGACGATCTGATAGCATCGATACTTTATGAACTAAGTTTTCTTCTAGAAGAAAGGAACTTTGGTTCAGTGTACAACATATATACCGACTAGTTCATTCACGTAGAACACAACATCGTAGTAAGTATCATTATCAATATTAAACTTCATAATTTCAAAGAAATTAAATGTTGGGTACAGTGGTATATTCGTGATGTCCCAATGAGCAAACTTTGAATTTCCGACGTTTCTTGACTCTGTATAAGCCACTACTTCAGAATAAATAAATAACCTAATTAAAACCAACACATGTTTAAATAGTATAAAGAGACGAGATAGAATATTTAGTCTAATTAAAATTAAAGTGGATCTGATTATGTCAATATAATTTCATTTTTAGTCAAGGTGATTCTGTATCAAACATCACTGTGTATGCACTCCTGAAAACTGAGTTGATAAAGAGGCTGGAACTCATTAACCGTAGTTAATGATATGATCCAATAGTGATTATTTGATAATTTATTTGATTTAATTTATTTAATTTGATAATCTATTTCAGTGAAAATCCATTTGTAGAATGGATAAATCCGGAACAAAATATTACTTACAACTTTGAAAGTTTGAGTCTTAAACATAAACTTGATCTTTCTAAAGATTGTAATATTACATTATATCAATATGAAATCTACTGTCGAAGTTTATATAGTCAATATATTCAAAGAGTTTAATTAAATATTCATAAATATTTAAAGAATTGCATTTTATAGTTGAAAGCATGAGTCAATTAAGGCAAGATCACCAAGGAAAACCTGGAGGCACTGGACGGCCTCTTCTGATTATAATCATATGTTAACTAATGACTGACTTTGAGAGGTAAATCCTGGAGTTCTAGTGAGAAGCAGTGACCAGTGGAGTTAAAACCACGTCTGTTGTGAAACAGGAACTCACTGAAGACAATCGGTGAACAATTGTTCAAAATCGTGGATTGGTTGAAGTTAGACATTAATACCATAGGATGCCGGCCCAGTGGTCTATCAATTTAGTGCTCTGGTACGAGGCTGGTAGGTCCTGGGTTCGAATCTCGCGAGGCGAGGTCGTGGACGCGCACTACTGAGGAGTCCCACAGTAGGACAAAACGGCCTTTCAATGCTTCCAGGTTTTCCTTGGTGGTCTAGCTTAAATTGACTCATGCTTTCAACTATGAAAATACTAAAATCTCCACTAAAAACCCTCTTCTAATTTTATTTCAACTTGACATAAATTTCTATTCCTTGAATTTCTATTAAAATTGTGATCTAATTTATTTACAAAAAAGGAAAAACATTTTAATCAAAAATTATTTTAAATATTTTATAGATTTGAAATACGTGAAGATAGAAAACGGGAAGTTGTACGGGCTGTTTGTCAATTAGAAAGTTTAAAACAAGAACTTGTTGATGAATTAAGTAAACAAAATTCAATATTACAAAATTTTGTCTTACCTTATACTGTTACTACGACTACTAGTACTACTATCACTACCACTACTTCTCCTACTCCTAATACAAATTGTACAATATCATCTTATCAAAAAGAAATTACTTCTATTCAACAAACACTACCGCAATCTGAGACTGAATTACCATTATCAGTTAATATTCCAAAAACGTATTCATTACAACATTATAATTCAATGAATAATAATAATTCTGATCAAATATTATATTCAATGGATACTAAAATAAAAGATTATAAAAACAAATATTCATTAAATTATGATAAAAATGTGAATCATTTAACAAAAATGAATGAAGTACTAATTGATTTTTCATGGTTACCTGATCAATACAATAAACCTAATATAGTTAAAGGATTATATATAGATGATTGGTATCGATTTAAGAATGAAATAAAAATGGGATTAAAGGAAGAACTCTTTTCATTAATTAGAAACAATTACTTGTTAGTGAATAATGAAAAATTATTAAATGAATTAAAACATACTACTAATAATGATATTAGTAGTCAGATTGTACAAACACCAAGTAATTCATTAACAAATGAAAATAAATTAGATAGTTTTCAGACTAAATGTTGCAATAAACATTCTGAAAAAATATTCCCAAGATTTACACAAAGTATACAATCAAATTATAACTTTAAAAGAAATTCTAGACAGAATGATAATAGTAATAATACTGAGAAAATAAAACCGTCACATTCAAAATATCCAGAAAATATCGAAGAGAAATCATCTTGTTCAACATTCAAACCATTATCGTCAGCATCATCACCCTTGCGATCAGCCATTCCAAACGAGACTCTATCTTCAGGATTATTACCATCGTCATCATCATCATCATCATCACGATCCCATGATCAATACCTTAAAACTAATACAAATATAGCCATGAAAAATATAAACATATCAATTTCCTCACATATTTCACCTACTCTATCCCCAACCCCTTCAACTGATATCGCTACTATTTCTACTGCTACTACTTATAGTAGTAGTAGCGGACATGGTAATAACAACCTACTTAGAGAGAAACAAAATATTGATAAAAATGAAGGAATAAACCAAATCTATGAAACTTCTAACGTACATTATGAAGATGATAGTAGTAGTTCAACTATTAGGAAGTAATCATATGTTTTCTGTAGTAAATCAATAAGTGATTTATATCATCCTCCTTCATATGCATATATATAAAAATTTTAAAAGGTTATTATCATTATTACTACTACTAATATTATTATTATTTCAATAACGACCATGTTCATCTGTAAACAATAAATATATTTTACTTTCAATTTTTCAAAGACAAATTTTTCTGAAAAAAAAAGGAAACAAAATAGAATATTTATTCATTAGAACAAAATACTTTAATGATAAAATTCTATTCAATCTTTTCTGTAAAATATTTAATATAAAAAACCTTACAAATTCTTTTCTTTTTCTCTAATGGGAACATTAAAAGAATCTACCTTAACAGTATCAAAAAAAATGAATATGAGAATAAAATGACCAAATATAATAATAATAATTTATATACATAACTTATGTAATAAATATGACATTACAGTCATTCATTTTATAAGTATGATTATTTTCTTTTGTAAAATAATATAATAAAAACAAGTGCTCTGGCGCGAGCTGGTAGGTCCTGGGTTCGAATCTCACGGGGCGAGGTCGTGGGTGCACACTAATGAGGAGTCCAATAATAAGACAAAACGGCTGTCCAGTGCTTCCAGGTTTTCCATGGTGGTCTAGCTTAAAATGACTTATGATTTCAACTATGAAAGAAACAACAACAAAAATTACTAAGAAACTAATGAGTGTTTTAAAGAAAAAAAACAACCAGAACTTAATCAGAAAAAAAAGAGAATTCAGCGAAGAAAATTTTCTTTTCCACTAAATCATTTACTTAAGCTGTACATTCGTATATATAGTGATATGGAAAATATATGTCTATAGGAGGCTAGAAGTTATTGCATTATAAATGGATTCGACAATAAATAACAAATGAGGTGGCGTACTAATCAAGGGGTAAGGGAGAAAATAATTTATGGTTCAGATAATAGTTCAATTGACAGATACGAAGAAAAGCGACAAACACAAAGGTCATAATAATAGACTGAATAATAATCAAGAAAACTTGTATAAGGTAATAATAATAACTGATTAAAGTTTAAAATGTAAAACAGTACTTTAAAAAGCATAGATGAATAGTGGCTAGCAGTAGAATCCAGAACGCGCGTTTCGTCTTATTTGGGACTCGTCAGCTAGATGTACCTAGTTTAAAAAACAAAAAAACGATAATAATCAAATGAAAGTGCAGAAAAGAAAAAAACAACCAGAAACCTACCCATTAAGGGAATTAGGGCCAAGGAAGGGCGAGAGGTTGAATAAATCGTTTCTGCACGCAAAGCTCAGGCTTGAGTTTATGGATTGTCAATGCGCCAGCAGTGCATACAATATTGATTCGACCCCCCCCTCCTTCGATCCAGTTCCTTTGACTCTATAGACTACTTTAAAAGAGGAGTCTTTTGGAGCGATGTGTCCACAGTTAATTAAATGCTCTTGTATCGAACTAGTCATCTTTTTACATTCCCCTTTTAAGAGCATTTCTTCGTATCTATCAATTGGACTATCTGACGCTTAAATTATTTTCTTCCTTACCCCTTGATTAGTACGTCACCTCATTTGTTATCTATTCTCGAATCTATTTATAATGTAATCTTTCCTAGCCTACTGTAAACATATATTTTCCATATATATACGAATGTACAATTTAAGTAAATGATTTCGTCAAAAATAAAATTTTCTTCGCTGGATTCTCTTTTTCTTATTCAATGACACTATGAGTTATTTTAATTATCTGCAGAACTTAATCATTAAATCCTGAGTTTTATACTACTTAACAAGTTCTGTTAACAGTATAGTTTTAAAAACATTAATGGAATGATAGTGTAGTGAACAACAAGACGAACGGGGATAATCGAATGTATTTGAGCACAAAATTACAGACTACCTCATTAAAATCTGACAACTATTCAGTAAATAGGTAATTTGCAAAGTAATAATCAATTGTCTCAATCTTGACCATTCCTTCTGCAAATATCAGTCCATAGTCTTCGATTATTATTGTACATGCACTTTTATATCAATTGCGTTTCGTTTACGTTCTTTCGTTATCGATCTTCTACTGAAATCCATTTCATACCCGACCATCATTATATACTACTTATGTGGATATAAGTAACCCACACCACAATAGTAACTGACAATACTTGATAAGAAATAATCTATGCTTATTTATTTAGTATTCATTGATAATTAGTTTCAATTGAAAAACCTGAAGCATCAAAAATTCGATATCCCCGAGTCACATAAAGTACACGTAATAGGACAATAATTTGCTTTAAGCAACTTATTAATACAGTCGATATCATGAAAGAGGACTTGTAGATGGTCAATCAAGTAATATAATCAATTTACACAACGGACTATCATGAATTACCATCTTGACTACCTGATAAACTCAGTTAATTTTTGAACTGATGAGTGATTATTTTTAAGTCGGCAGTTTTTAACTTACACTCTGATCAAACTTAAAATTAGTATTCACCCTTAAAATAACAGACTGTTCGTAAACGTTTGATACTGGTAAAGAAGATTAGGAAAATCACTTGGAATTACTCAGCGAATCGATAGTTAAACGAAGGAACATTAGTTTAAAGAATTAAACATTAGCGTGTTTAACAGCAACACTAGGAGTCACATTCCTAGTTCACAAAACAAGTAAAGAAGCTACAGGAAATAATTGTTAGCTCAATCATCTATTTAGTCAGTTTGAGAAATTTTCATACGCCGGTTCGTTTAACATTATATTGTACGCGGTAAAAAGAGTATACGAAATCTGAAAGCAAGACTCGAAATTTAACGACGTTCCCTGTGAATACAACTGCGTACAATGAATCTTCTCCTACAATGGACACACCAATAATAACTTCTCTATATTTCTGCTCTTAATACTTTTGTATATTTGTAGTTAGTTCGTAAGTTCCACTAACAAACAACTTTAGTTACCATGTTCTTAAACATACAGACAGACATACCAGCGGTAGGAGAAAAGGTTATATAAATTGTAACTTACGGCAAACCTTCAATGCTTCTCGCTGAAATCTCGAGAACTCAATGACGAGTTTTTATGGGGTACAATGTGAGGATAACATTTAGTAAGAAGAGTACTTCGTTATTCATTTTAGTTACCATTTGTAATCTTTTGCAGCCCGACAAAAGCCAGCATGACTGATAATATTCTTCAGCTTTAATATGACATTTGCCTACAAGTCTATTAACTAGAACGAGTGCCAAAAACTATTTTTGTCAAAAACCATTAGGTTTACTCCAAATAATACAATGACGCGATATTTCCATATAATCAGATCAATGAATAAACGAGATGTATCATGAATTATTTGGTCGATACTTACTGTTCATAACAAATTCTTTCTCGTTTAGCTGGCCTTCAGCTACTGTACAACTACCCACTATTCCCAGAAAACCTGAATGCGACATTGAAGTAGGCCCCCCGGCCCTACTTGAAGTTCAAAAGGCTATAAGTAGTCTGAAACGAGGAAGAGCAGCTGGTCCTGATGGATTGGTTCCAGAGGTCTTTAAATATGGTGGTCCAATTTTAGCGATTAGGTTGATTAGTATTCTGGCTAAAATCTGGGAGACGGATGTAATCCCATCCGACTGGTCACAATCACTGATTGTCCCAATGTATAAAAAGGGGTCAAAATCATCCTGCAATAACCATAGAGGGATTGGTCTGACTAACATAGTATCTAAAATACTTGCCTCAATAATTATCAGGCGCCTAACTAAGACTCGTGAACTCCAAACACGAGAAAATCAGGCTCTCTTCAGACCTGGTCGTGGCTGTATCGACCACATATTCACCATTCGTCAAATTTTAGAGCACGGACATGCTTATCGGCGTCCGACAATGATAGTTTTTCTTGACTTGAAAGCAGCATTTGACTCTGTAGACCGAGAGGTTCTGTGGCAGTGTCTGTCATTGTAAGGTGTACCTGAGAAGTACATAAACCTTGTGAAGGCTCTTTACTCGAACACTATCAGTCGAGTGAGAGCTTATGGCGAACTGTCATCTGATTTTACAACCTCAAGTGGTGTCCGTCAAGGCTGTCTACTATCCCCATTTTTGTTTAACTTCATTATAGATCTGTTGCTGGAAATAACACTCTCTTCGACTGAATTTACAGGAATTGATCTCCTACCAGGGGGACCACTAAGCGACTTAGAATACGCAGATGACATAGTCCTGTTTGGTGAAGATGCTGGTAAAATGCAGAGTCTTCTGTTGGAACTCAGTAATAATGCCAGGATGTTTGGGATGCGTTTCTCCCTATCCAAATGTAAATTGTTACTCCAGGACTGGCCTGCGTCAACACCTGAACTAAGGATAGGGAGTGAAGTAGTCGAACGCGTCAACAACTTCACTTATCTTGGAAGTCTGATCAGCCCTAATGGGTTGGTGTCAGACGAAATCTCAGCACGGATTCAAAAAGCTCGTTTGGCTTTTGCCAACTTACGTCACCTATCGCGAAGACGAGATATCCGTCTATCAATTAAAGGACGAGTATACTGTGCAGCAGTTTGCTCTGTTCTACTTTATGGCTGTGAAACATGGCCATTAAGAGTAGAAGATACTCGTAAGTTACTAGTATTTAACCACAGATGTCTTAGAAATATTGCTCGCATCTGCTGGGATAACCGGGTAAGTAATAGTGAGGTTAGACGCAGGGTATTAGGGAATGATGGTAAATCACTTGACGAGGTCATGAATCTTCATCGACTGAGATGGTTGAGCCATGTGTTACGTATGCCCGAACACCGATTACCACGACGCGCTATGCTGAGTAGTGTTGGGGATGGTTGAAAGAGAGTTAAGGGCGGCCAAACCAAAACATGGCATCAGTGTTTGAAGTCACTAACTTCTAGCCTGAGCCATGTTGGCAGATGCAAACTACCTGGTTGGGGTCCGCGTGACTATCGTAACCAATGGTTGGAGACTCTGTGTGACATGGCTCAGAATCGATCACAATGGCGTAGGTGTATACACTCTTTATCTTCCCTTAAACTTTGAGACTAAAATTGCTTCATATCTCTCTTCCTTCCTGTACTATATCCTTATATACAACCTTTCTTGATATACTACCACCACTAAATTAATTACTTCTATGAATCCGGTGTTCGTCTTGTTGTGCTAACGAGGTATGGCAACTTGGACCGATGCATATATGTGCCTGGTCCTACGTTGTAGCTGACTGACTGACTTTCTCGTTTCGCAAATGAATAAGACCTATTCGAAGAACCGTTTAATAAAATTCATCAGAATTTAACACTACTAAAATTGTTTGTTAGGTTCTAACACTTTCCCTATAATTGGTGGCCGCTAAAAAATTATTACAGGTTGTTTACAAACAGAGTATGGATTCAGAAGAAACGTACATTTAGCTAAACAGTACTAATGAACATTTCTAAACAGCCTAATATTTCGGAACTCAGAAATGACATTTAAGTTTGGTGCAATAAATCTTGCTAAGATTAAAAGGGGAATGGATCAGAAACACCAACCCATATATCTATAGATGAATCTGCACTCGCTAACGCTGTAGACATCTGTAGATTGTTCAAATTATTGTTTAGCCATTTTGGAATAAACCAATTAATGACTGTCAAATGAGCAGAATAACCTTGTTTTGCTTTATGTTCCTTAGACATAGATACAGGAAATATCACACAAATCTCACTTAAACTACTTGGTTCATTCACTGAAAACGTCTATACGACCCGACACCTCGTGTCAAATTTATGTAGACCTTGATAGTCAGCATACGATTACAGGTCCACGAGTATTCCTATGTGTTAAATATGATAAATATCTACCACCTCAATATGCTACTGTCAGTATTGAAACTTTAATATATATATATATATATATATATATATATAATATTGCTCATACAGTAGTGGCTGAGTGTTTTGCACTCACAAGGTAGGGATAAACGAGAAATCACTACAATGAGGACCAATAAAAACTCAGAGTTGACGCAACACTGGTAGTGCTGGTTGACATGTCATTGGTTTAGCACAGTAACACGGTCATAGAAACCAATTTCCTGATTGGTGATCTCGTCAAGTGCAGAAGTCATAACAATGCCATAATAAAGAGACCAATTTGCAGGAAACCTACTTAAACAAAACGATACCTAACTTCTCCTAACTTTTCTTCTTTGAAATATTAATATGGCTTAGTGAGATGTCTATCCAACAGAAATAAATGTATCTGCTATGGGGATAACACTAGAGATGTGAATCCATTGAAGTACAAGTCAGGTAACATTTAAAGCCCTTCTTTATTTCGTCCGAAAAAAAGGTACACATCACATCATTACACAGAGTTAACTAACCAAGATTGTGAATAAGGCCGGAAAACCGTGCAAAAAAATATATTACGCTGGCAAGTTGATAGCCATTGAGGAAACAAAACCTGCTATTCCATATACGCTTAAGCATCGTAAAAATGATTACGCCACTTTCCCCTTTAGATCATCAAAACCATCACCGACCCGGTTTCCTTTTCAGGTACCTGAAGTTTCCCATTAGTCTAAGCAGCTAGGAAATATTGACAACCCCCTACGCAGCTGCGGTGGCCCTCAAAATCACCTTCGTTAGGATAAAATTGCATCTACTAATTTACGTGTGTGGATATACCTACACATGAAGCAATTACGCTATTAAATTGAAAATAGCGAGGCATACGCTAAAATGGCTTCAGCGTTAGTTAGCATCACAAGTTCGGGCTAGCGTAGAAGGAAGATTACAACTGTGCACCTCTATATCAATGGAATCAAAACAGCTTATAGTATTGACCTTAAAGCAACCTTTAATCTAAGTATGGAAATCGTCAGAACTGCAGTCTTAAGTTTGTGGAAATCCTAGTTACTAGACAATTTAGGTATCATTAATGTCATCAGAATAATGATCACACTTATAGGCGATTTTCTTCAGTATGTAAGACGGGAAACGAACAATATATTAGCTAATATTGATTATATTGGATAATGAAAAACAATGCGCATTCGCTCATCAGATAGGGGAAATTTAATTTGTTTTACAATAAGTAAATCCACATAAGCTGTTGAAAATATTACAATGACTAAAACAATAGAAAGTATTAAATGAATAATAAGCGATAAATACATGATAAATGAAATCTGAAAATATTAGTAGATGTTGAAATTCACTTTTTATACATATACATATAATTAAAGACTACTCCAAAATGACTGTAAAACACCATTACAAAGATGTAGAGTATTAACAATCTGATGGTGAACAAATTCCTTGGTGATTTGTATTACCACACAAAAATCATGCATACGTATCCAAGTAGATGTCTTAACACCTGTCGTATAATACTCTCTCCAAAGGAGAGGATTTTTTAAAGCAGTTTGAAATATTTTTAAATTTTTTTCAATCAAATTAGTTAGTTCATCATCCATAGTATTATTGAGCACATCCAATGATGCATACTGCATAGATTTGCATTTTTTCAGAAATGAACTAACATCATCATCATCATTAGAACTACTTCTTGGCCAACGAGTTATTAAAATATACTTCAATATTGAGAAGAACTCTTTGAAATTTATTCCAGCGTATGCTCGTAGACAAATCTTTGTTTAAAAAAAGAAAGCAGAGAGTAACAAGAATTTTACGCAACAACATGAATTGAAAACCCCTTCAATGATAACAAAAAAACTGTTTTCATCAAATATTAGAGTCATTTAAAACCAAGGAGTATTGATAAAGTATTACTTAAATATCTTTTAGAGACCAAACTAGTAGAAACTACTCAAATTCAACAGTGAAAAGAAAATGGTTATAGGATGGTATTCTTGTAAATTTAATATTTTGACTGATCGACCAGAATCATGACAAAGTTCCAACTCCTGATGAAACTCCATCGTTCATCACTAACTAAGAAGTTGGAATACTAGTATCTGAGAGGAATCCCTCCAATGAAATAGTGCTCCCTATAGGAGGATACCAAAAGAAAATGATCTTTTCTTCATGACTAACTTCATTATACTATTTGGTTACTGTCAATATTACCATGCTTAATACAAGAAATGTAATTTCGTTAGTAAAAGTCCATGTTTTGTTTAATCCTATATCATGTTAAAATTTCTAGCTGTCATTCATCTATCGCTTTGTTCTACTGAAGGTATTTGGCACTATGTATCAGTCAAGTTTTTAACTTATACAGTTTGCTATCAAAAAGTCGTTTATTATTCTGATGTCATAAATCATAGTGTTACCAAAGTAATAACTTTATAGAGATAATAGCCACAATTTTTTTTAAAAAGACTGTTGGATATGAGTACATTCACCAGAAACGAAATTATCTTCTAACAACAATTATAAGCAGATAGGTTTCTTTTCATACAAAAAACGTTCACTCGGTAATTATGTGCTAATTTTCATTGCAAACTTTTATATTTCGTAATTACTCATCCATCTACCTTTAGTTGTTTAACTTTACCCTTTTACTAAAGCGGCTTGTACATACAAATAGCAATGTCAGGCCATACAAACAAGTGTAACCTATAGCCCTATACGTGGTTGGTAGGTTTGCGTCTGATCAAGTAACTCAGAGTCAAGATGAAATAAAGCAGTCGGTTGTATAATATCAGTAGACTATTTGTTAAGTGTTAAGTTAATCAAAGATAGTTACCTGACACTCTTCATGCCATCCAGGAATAGAAGATACGTCTTTAGTTGACGCTTCAACAGCTTTTAATTGATCTTGTAAATGATCCCAAACATGACTTACATTTGTAGCATTGAACCAATTATGGTTTATAGATATACAATCGGTCTGTATATGCGTAAAAGCAAAAAGTTAACTTAGCTTTATCAGCTGTTGCATGAGGCTGATCACAAAGAATAAATACAAGAAAATGAAAGAACTGTGAAGGTACTTCGACATAGCAACATTCATTAAGTACGAAAAGCAGTTTGACGATAACTCAGAAGAACAACTAATCACATGCCTTGATTTTGTTAAAAATAAACCATTCAAGATAAATAAATAAAATATTTGTAATATCCCAATGAGTAAAAAAATTAAATTTCCTGACGTTTCGTGACTCAGTGTAAGCCACTTCTTCAGAGAACTTTACACCATCACATTACAAATTAACTCTATCCTTTGTCACTATAAAGGTCACACATTTTTCATCATTTACAGTGGACACATACACACAAAATTACATACATGTCACTTATGAATCACCTTGACCGCAATGAAATGACATGACATTTATTTATTCAGACCTGCTTTTGATTGATTACCCAATATTCGTGTTGTCCGTTATACTATTTAAACTTGAATTAATGTTAATTTGGTTATTTATTCTCTGAAGAAGTGGCTTACACTGAGTCACGAAACGTCAGAAAATCTAATTTTTCTACTCATTGGGATATTACAAATATATTATTTATTTATAACAATCTACCCAATGCTCAATTTATTCAAAATTATCAAATCAAAACTTGGTAATGATACCTACATTCAGCATAAACATCAGGAACTTCGATCAAACGTACTATTTGAGAATACAAAGCGCACTGCACAACACTACAGTCAAAGTAAAATAGACTACGAACCGAAACAGTTGACCCAATGCACACTAATTCTGGAGCAAGGTTCTGCACTGATGAAGTGGAAAATAGAATTCAAAAACATCTTCAATATGCTATTAAAATTGTGCACTTTGTAAGGTTTCGATTGATTGGAAAATTAGGCTGTTCTACTGTCCTATCTTCCGGTTGAATTTATAAGGCGTTCATTTAGAAATCTCCGAACATTTAACAGAAAATTAATATTTTTGTTCATTAATCTAGTCGCTACACAGAAAGCATATATCTATAAGGAAAATAATGGATGAGATGGTTCACTAGCAAGCATGGGCTAATAAAATCTAGACCCTTCAAGATGGCCCTGATATAATATCTATCAAGAGAAAATATTTATTACCATATTTACAACCTGATGATACCATCCAGAAGGTACGAAAACTGCTTGCCCAGAATATTGGTCGATTACATAATACTTCACATCTTTCCTGTCTTTTATAACGGAGCGTATATCAAAAGGAATTTGTCCATTAGGTAATAAGAGCTTTCTTTCTTCACCTTATACAGAAAAAAACAATAAAACATGTACAGTTATGCACTGAATTTAATCAATAACATAAAATTCGAAATATAAGTTAACAGAAAGAGTAGAGGAAAACAAAAACTGTAAAATTAGAATCGGTTTCAAAACATATTGCTACATGTCTACAAACACCGATTTCTTTTTAACTACGATTTATATCCTGAAAGATTTCTACATATCAAACGAGTTTGATTTAAATAATTCAAACGGGAGACTATTAGCTATTTATTTGACCTCTGCTCGTAAAATTGGGAACACATGACTGCAAAGAAAACGGTGTCAAAACCCTCCTGACTTACATAGAATGTAACAAAAATATTAGTTATCGAAAGTAATCAATCTCACATCTACTCTCTGTATACACAGAGTTGAAAGAGAACTATTTGGAAGTTTCCTGACAATCCTATACAATATTAAACCATTCAAATAACTTTCTACGATCTCACCCGAACCAAGAATATGCCCAGTACCCAGTATGTGTTGATATCCATTTCGAAACCATTATTTGAACTATATACCGAATTATTCGTAGGTAAGGACTAAAATTTCATGAGATTTTTAACAGGTACATTAGTTTGGTACATAAACATTGACGTTTTTAACTAGATGAAAATTTAATTTTAAGAGACCAACCAGGGGGAAAAATCCACCAACGCTTGTGGCCAAGTATATTGGCAGACCAACTGAAAGAACGGTACACATCAGCGTGAAAAGGTGTCCACGTTCCATGACTCCCTACATATAAAAATTTGAAGTCATCAGAGAGATCATTTCGTAGGCTCCAAAACTCATTTAACCAATCAGAAGAAAAATATTCAGGCAACGTGAACCAACTGTTTTCTGAACTTTTCTTAAAGTAATGCCAATCTTTCAAATATAGAATGCGATCATCTTTTCCTTGAGCTTTATTATTCCAATACGAAATAAATTCTTCAACAGTGACTTCATGAACTGGATGTGTATTGAATTCGATTACAGAACAATCAGAAACACATAATTTCTCATCTGAAAATATCACACCGATTATGATCTACCTGAAACATTTTTGAATACTTTTTTTAAATCAATGAGCCCATCAGGGGATTGCCATGAAAAACATACCGACCAGTTTTTAGTAATCCAAGAGTCGAAAATACATAGTTGGTTTTTCATAAGATAGCTAAACAAGATAATAATAATCAAGATAATACTACTTGAAATAGAAATCTGGATATTTGACATCTTCACTCAGACACGTTGCCACCAAAGTGTTCTCCTGTTACAACACCCAAAAAATCAACAATGACCATATGACATGGAAAGGATTAATAATTTCATAATGAATAAGGTATAAGATATATTTCATGAAAGCTTTATTTGCATAAAACAATAAATGTAACACATACAAAGAAAGATTATACATTTCGACGGTAATAAAGTACTGTAAGAAAAGTATATGTGGAATCAAGACATTGCAACTTTGAGAAAGAAATTCCGACATCTTAGTTCATATCACTTTTCAATCCGTGGCAATTTGGAACTTGGTTCTAAAGAATCTTCGCTCTGAATGATAGACGAATGTCCTGGGAGATCAGTAGAATGCCTTTTGACAAACATGGTTGGAAAAACCAACAAAATACAGGTCACATTATCACCTGACATACGAAGAACAGCTTCACTAACCAAATGCGTGCATACTGAGTCCAGGTGTCGTTGACACAATATCCTCGAATAATCAGTACACTACAATTTTTTGAGAAAAAAGGTTACAATGAAGCATTGTGAAACACTTACAACGGCATTTGTTAATAATTATAAATAATTCGGCTGTAGGTCAGGCAGTGTCACTAAAATAATAACTTAGTCACTAAAACAATAGATTCTCAATAGCAACACCCTCCCCAGGTTCAAACTCTGCTCTATCTATTTCATTTTAAGGGGCCAGGTAGTATCATTAACTCTCGATAAAGCATGACGCAAAGTCGAGTTCACAAACTCACACTCGATAAATAGGTTACATTAGATCCAGTTGAGGCAAACTTTTCTTAAATGACCGCCATTTTTACTGAAGTGTACAAAATATAGAAAAGTCATTTTTATTGTATCAGACACAACATTTCTAAACGTGCCTAAGCAAAGTGCCTTCTTGAACGCTTGTGGGTCTCACCCTTGGACCTCATTGTGCTTAATATCTTTACATCACGAAACAACATTTCATCTTGAAATAAACAAGAAACATTGTGATCAGATATGATGTGCGATGACTTCAACAAATAAGCATTCGTGACAGTTTTATGACTGACTAGATGAAATCCAAAATACTGAAAAAAACATTAGACTGACAAAACGTCTATTGGTGTGGCACCTTAATAAATGTTTACAAGAGGTGATCGACACTTTTTGGAGACAAAAACACTAACATTTAATGCCCTAACTAAACAAGACATATGTGATTTTAATCATAAATCAAAAGCAACTTACTTGACCATTTTGTGATTCTTTATGTTCATTTTTATAGTTTTTAATCTCTTGCATCAAAAGCTCATGAGTGAGATGAACAGCTTCATTCGGAGGGAAACTTTTCCATAGACCATCACAAGCTATTAACAAAAATCTAGAGAATTAAAAAAAACAGATTAAGAATTTTGAACATAAATTACTCACAATTAAGGAATAGGATTTGTTTATAAAAATATTCACCTGATCAACAATAACATATCGACTTAAGTCTTCGAAACAGTATGAAACATTGTAAAAGCCCATCGATAAGATTTCCCACGTTTTCCCATAGAAAAACAATATTAGACGGACAAGAAACGAGGTATTAAGATTAACAATAGCGAGACCACATATTTGGCAGATGACATGGAAAAGTTATCCGCAGAGAAATGTCGAACGAATGAAATGATAATTATGATCATCAATTTGTGTAAGCGATACATCAAATAAAGTCCAAGATGTTACAAAGGATTGATATCCGAAATGGGAGCAAAAAAACAAAACTACCTAAGTCATTTTAAATATACCACAATTTAACTGAAAAGATTTTCAAATAAATTATGAACTGAGGCAAACTGTACTCAGTCGAATTAATACGATATCTTACAATCAAGAGCAATATTTTTACACACAAAAATTCGAAAATAAAATGATATTATACTAGAAGTATTAGTATGAAAAGTTGATTATGACGTCCAACCGTTTTTCGATTCTAATCGGCATTTAAATAATTGAATAATATCATGACACTAAAGATATGACAGGAAGAAGAGTGAACTCACTGATTATGCAACTTTGATTTCCACCTAAGATTAATAGCCGACTAACTAAAAACGTTTGATCGTATTGTATTAGTTGAATATTCTGTATATCAGTAATGGATCTAGCTCCCTGATAATATTCCTAGGTCTAGTTAACCAGCTGTTCTCTCTTCTGATAACCATTTAGTTGGAATTTAGGGAATCTACCCCGTGAAAAATTATTAATCTAACCTCTTTAACTAAACTAATATACATTGACGAGCCAATTGAACTGACACAAACAGCTAAAAACTCCAGTTTAAGTTATGGGAATTCACAACTGCTTGAGCACTGAGTTGTGATGTATGTGTGTATGTCAGATCCTTCTTAGTGCAGACCGAATTCTATCGATGGAGCTGTAATATGGTCATTGGTCTAGGCGACTCAAAATCGCCTGAACTATATTGAGGTGTAAGATGGTGGTTGGAAGTAGTCAACAGAAAACCCTGGACTAGCAAGGTGTACCCTTAATCCTCAGGGGACTGATGCACCGTGGCATATTCGATCTCGTTATAGTAACGAATAAAAAATAACTGTAAAGATCAACGAAGAAAGTCACATAGAATGTAGGTGACCTATAGCTATATCTAATATGAAGGATTTAAATATCTCATGTTGGTAAAAATTAAGAAAGAATCTGCTATTCAGAGTTAATATCGAGTCCATTTGCCACTTTTATAAATTGAGATAAGTTCCATGGTCACTAAACACGGTAATCAAGACAGATATTTTAGAGGTAACACAATTCATAACGGGCAGTCTCGCTATGGAAGAGAATGAAACTTGTTGCAACTGCGATGCAAAATAGGATTATCGACTAGAATATCTCAAATTAAAGCTTCAGTGATCTGCTTTGATTTATAACAAAATACAATTGTGTTGCCTATGTCTGCTTAAAAAACACATACTCTATGCAAAGATTCGCAACTTTTCATAGACTTTAATATGTTGTCACATTCTTTTACTGACAATGAAATAGTGTTCAAACTTACGAGCATGTGCCAACGAATTCGCAGTTGAGAGGCGCAATGGCTCTAAACAATGCCATAGCTCAACACTTAATTGTTACTGTGAGTGTCACTGACGTTTCCAAATTCTTCAAAATTACCAATAAAAGATGCAATTTCTCTTAGGTTTGGCGAAGCAGTAGTGCAGTGAATGAGAACACAAGTGGGAACAATCAAAAATTACAGAACGTCCAGGTAAAATCTGACAACCATACAGTAAATACTTTATATGCAAAATGTCAATCAATCGTCTTAGACTTGATTGATCCTTCGTTTCTGCACCAACCACTCTCTATTCTCATTTCTTTTTCTTTGATCTTCTTAACCTTCTTGCCACCAGACAGTTGACTTTCGACTGATGGTACATACTACTTATATTTGTCGACATCAGTAGCACACACCACGATAGTAATTAGGAAACTGAAACCAAATTTGCGTCCAGAAAGAGACGGCAACCAATTTATCATTACCATGGTAAATCCAAGATTTTGACTGATATCAACTGCAACTGCTGTTATTGCTATCATCATTATTATTTCTATTATTATTTTATTGTGTTTAGTTTGTTATGCGATCATTGCTAAACCAGCAGTTATTTTATGTATGTTAAAGCCATCCTTTCATTCATCTATTTTTTCACACATTCGATTTTCCAAACATATGTAAATTATCCAAACGTTGTATAGTTATTAGGGAACCCAACTTATCAATTTCGAACTCTAGACAATTACTACCTCATTGCTTTATCTTCTGAATATATTGTTAAGTGGTCTGAAACTCAAGAACCCTTCAAATTTTTTATAATTAACTCAATCTAATTAGTCTCGTAAAAGCAACTAATTGTATAAATAAAATAATATATTGCTGATATACCGTTCAGTAAAATTTGATTTTTTTTGCAAATAAACGGGTTGAAACTAGCATGTTTAAATAGTAGAGACGATCAAGGCAGAATATTTAGTTCAGTCAAAATAAAAATAAGTCTGATTATGTCAGTGTCATGTCTCTTTGGTCAAGATGACTTTGAGTGAGACATCACTTTGTATAGTTGTGTACATGATAGTGCGTATGAAAAATGTGAAATTCGTTATATGAAGTAGAGTTGTAATTTGTATGTGTCAGAAATGAACAGAATCAAAGGTGGCTGTTTGGATAAACAGTTCAAGTCGCCCTTCTCTTTCTCTGGGAGGCAGAGTGACCTACCATTAGGTGAAACGCCGGAGCTACTTACCTTTCTTCATAAGTGGAAAAACCTTTCTCAATTATTTTGATGTTTTTAATATCGATTTGGTGGTTACTAAATATACCATTTACTGCTATTGCCGATTTAATCCATAGATTTTTCAGTTCAACGGGATTATTAGATCGTTTTGATTTACGCTAGACAAAAAATTTAGATTTCAATGGAAAAACTCTCTTTAATAAGATTTCCCTAGCTAGTCTTAGGGACCTAAATTATTTTTATGCACGTACAATCGTACAGTTGAAGTTCGGCCATCGGTTTTTTGATGTGACAACTACAATGTCTTTGTTATAAGTTTCCGAAAGGTTTTATTTGATTACGATAAGATATCAATTGGTTAAGTCAACAAATCAAATGACAGACAATTTTTGAACAGCATCTATCATTATTATGCACTGGTTCGGAAATAAGATAAATCTGACATGAAATCTCACGAGCTGTTTCATTCATCCTGACCTATCACAAACTTCATATTAATAATGATATTTAACTTACTGATCATTATCTGTTAGCTGACACTTTTTCACATCCGGAATACAAGTAACACCTTGTTTCTTGAACTGATAGTCACCAAATGATCGACTAACTTCTAGGACACTATTAACACGACCATTTTGAACAGAAGCCCCGGTGGCTTGAATGCGCTGTCGTTCTTCATAATCCATAGGGTTGTGGTCTTTCGTTAAACAGATTGCATTCAATTTCGGATTACTTAAAGTATTGCTAATATTGACATCAACTTTATTAGATTCAGATGGGGACTCATCCAATCTGGCTAGGACAACCTAATACCAGCAAAATAAACTGAATAAAACAACCATCGGAATGAGGGTATAACATTAATAAAAGTATCTCTACACGTTGTACGATTATGATAGTAAATTTAACTGCGAATTGAAAACGATTGTTAAAAACCTAGCTTCACTTTGCAGTTATTAACTCAGATGATACAAGTGCAGATATAGGTTGATTACAATAATAGCGAACTGAACATATATTAAAGTAATTTGAAATGTACACTAAGACATAAAGAACTTTTCTAAGGACTATTTCAATAAGAAACATTTCCCTAGGATATGTGACGACTACATGCCGAAGAAGCTGAAACAATAAGATGTAACCAAGTATAATTTGGTAATAATAAGTTGGGGGGTCACTTTAGTGAGGATAAAAGGACTGTTTTGTAAGTTAATATAAAAGAATTGTACTCAGGATTCCAATCTGGCGTGTCCCTCACTTAAAGATCAAGTGCTAATTTTATGAATTACACAGGCCCAATAGTGTGATCTAATAAGAAATGAAGAATAGCAAAAAGACTGATTTTTAGCAAACGAGCCTTAATTTTCTCAACAAAGGAAAATGGCATTGTACAACGCATCTTTATAGAGTATGTGACTTTGGGAAATATGATAAAATAACACTGGAAGATAATGTAACCAGTGGAAAATGAGCAAAAATTGTTGAGAGCTATGTAAATTTAAGACTTATGTCAGTAATTTGACTAAGTGAATAGCAACAAGTCAACCATATCCTATCATTATCCATTATTTATGTAAAAGCGTTCTATTCATTTTAATGATAAAAGTGTCACAGTAAACTCAGAACTTTGTTCTCGGATTATTTGGTAACAAGTACAACTCCTTGACTTTCAAGAGATTCGTGAAATAAAGGTTAAACAGATACAATCATATCACAATTCACTGTACTCACTATCTGGTTATTTTTGATAGGATATTGAAGTTGAGATAAATAAGCGTTTACGATGATTCACACAAACAAAAATTCAAACTGACATAAGCTGTGGAACAAATCTGCATAAAATCTACGCATCCGATCCAATACTTAGTATTAAAATAATATTTCGCTTTATACATAGTAAGGAAGCAATTATTTACTTTGACGTGATGTAAGACGAAGTTAGGTTAGATGGAAAAGAGGTGAGAGAAATATTGTACTGCTTCATTAAATGACTGACCAGTGATCCAAGTTATTTCCTTCAGTGTATACTATCTTAGTGGAGTCCCGACAGCGAAGTGAACCACTGACAGGAGACTGCAAATCGTTTCATATATACATAAATGATCACTCCACATAAAAGGAGCATAATTAGAAACAAACCACAATACTCTCGAACTTACTTGCAACATACTGTCTGACCACCGAAGTCCCTGGTGGTTGACAGATAACACCTTAACCATAAAAAGTAAACAATGTTACAACAAAGCATCGAACACAACATTAAAGAGAAATAAACATGAATTACTTTAGAGTCACCAAGATTTGCAATGTATAGTGTGTTATTGACCAATAGGATTGTTGCTGCTGTACTACCATCTCTCCAGTGAGGGCGCCTGGAAAAATAGAAAGGGGCGCAAAAAAGGTGAATGAAACATAATGGTTGGATTCCTACTGCTGACAAGCCTCTCTCAAAAACTCCTCATCTGTTTTCTTATAAGAGTCGTATAACACACGCTTAATATCCTTTTCTACCTGTTGCATTCCACCTGTTCAGGAGGGAAAAAGAATAATGGTTAATGACTGACATTTTCAAGTAGAGTAATAAATAAAATGAAACCTTAAATATAATGTAAAGGTGATACATTTAAAGACTTGGATTTATTTTCATTAAATGATTGCAAAAATCACTTTAAAAACAATCTATTACGACTGAAAATATAATTTATTGTGTACATAGCTCTCATTCAATTAATTCAACATCTATATATTGTGAACTGTGGTTATATTTTAGTCCACAAAATCCAGAAGAAGAACGTTTGAATATGTAGGGACTATCATTTTCAGATAAACTTCAATTCTCATATATTTGGTTAAATTCGGTTGGAAGTGATCCATATGATTAAATTATAAAAAAGTGAAAGTTTTAATTCCGCTAAATCTAGGTTTAGCACTCAATGTACTAAACTTCAAACTATCCCAGTCGATAGAGATTAACAACCTCATCAACTGATTTACCATCATGCTCTAATACCCTGCGCCTAACCTCACTATTACTTACCCGGTTATCCCAGCAGATGCGAGCAATATTTATGTGTTATATATCTGTGATCAGATACTAGTAACTTACGAGTATCTTATACTCTTTATGGCCACGTTTCGCAGCCATAAAGCAGAACAGAACGAACTGCTGCGCAGTATACTCGTCCCTTAATTGATAGACGGATATCTCGTCTTCGCGATAGGTGATGTAAGTTGGCAGAAACCAAATGAGCTTTCTGAATCCGTGCAGATATTTCCCCAGATACCAACCCATTAGGGCTGATCAGACTTCCAAGACAAGTGAAGTTGTCGACGCGTTCGACTACTTCACTTCCTACCCTTAGTTCAAGTGTGGACGCAAACCAGTCTTGAAGCAACAACTTGCATTTAGAGGACGAGAAACGCACTTTATACATCCTTGCATTGATGCTCGGTGTTACCAAAAGACTCATCCTCACCAAACATGACTATATCATCTGCGTATTATAGGTCAATAAGTCGACCTCCTGGAAAAAGGTCAATCCCTGAAAATTCAGTTAGCGAGAGCGTTATTTCCAGTAGTAGACCGATGATGAAATGGAGATAATGGACAGCCTTGCCAGACACCACTTGAGGTTGCGAAATCAGATGACAGTTCGCCATAAACTCTCGCTAGACTGGTAGTGTTCCAGTAAAGAGCCTTCACAAGGTTTATGTAGTTCTGAGGTAAACCTTTCGGGGTGTGGCCCCCTAATAAAACTACCTGCTTCAGTTCGGGCATCTGGGCAGTATCACAGCCCTAATACAAATCGAATGAGATTTGTGCGGCGCATATGTATTCGGTCCCCCTTTGTACCAATATTTATGTGTTCAAAAAATTAAATAAACACCTTTCAATGACAGACACTGACATTCAATCTCTCGGTCTACATAGTCAAATGCTGTTTTTAAGTCAATAAAAACTACCATTGTCGGACGGTGATAAGTATGCCTGTGTTTTAAAACCTGACGAATGGTGAATATGTGGTCGATGCTGCCACGATCTGGTGTGAAGCTAGCCTAATTTTCTCGTGTTTACAGTTCACAAGTATTTGAAAGGCACCCGATAATTAGTGAGGTTAGTATTTTAGACACTATGTCAGTCAAACTAGTCCCTCTATGGTTATTACAGGATGATTTTGACCCCTTCTTATATATTGGGACAATCAGTGATTGCGACCAACCAGATGGGATTCGGTCCAGTTCCCGTATTTTAACTAAAATATAAGTCATCCCAATCGCTAAACCTGAACCACCAAAACTTAAAGACCTCTGAATTTAATCTATCGGAACCACCTCCCCTTCTTCGTCCCAGATTAGCTATAGCCTTTTGAACTACAATTAAAGTCGGGGGTCTACTTCAGTGTTCCATTCATAGTGTTTTGAAATGGTGAATAACTGTAACGTAGCTGAAGGCCAGCTGAACTGCTCCTTAGTGTTCCGCTCACAGTTACAAACGTCTAGATTGAGAACAGATAAGAATGTCATCTTTTTCAGCGATCGTCTCAATTACACTAGACTACTTAATTCCCAACTCTTTTATTAGTCTGAAAAGCTGTCTAGTGTTACCTACAGCCGCTGCCTTTTCCATTTCTTGCCTTTGTTGCCCACCACCGCTCACAATCGTTCAGTAGACTTTTGACTAACCTAGATCTTATTTGTTCTCGCTCGTCATCGTGTTAGAAATCTGATGGAATAAGTTTATGAGAGTCTATAAATGCAACAGATGTCGCAGGAGTCCACCGGTTTTTCGTAACCCTATGGTTAAAATCATTAATAGACGTTGCTGCTGTTTCCAGAAGTTCGTATACCTTTCCAAGCAATATCTGGGTCAGCCTCGTTTTCAAAATTGCTTAAGCATAAATTCAGTTGTTTCTGGAGTTCAAATCTAATGGGTCTTCTTGATGTGGCATTTCTGCGTCCATTGAGGTGGAGGCGAATGCATGATCATCCCAGAGCAGGTCAGTCACAACGTAGAACTTCGTACGTACGTACATCAGTTCAAGTTGCCATACCACATTGGCACAGAGATGCAGTTGTCAATTCAAATCCCATAGTGGTAGAGGTAGTAAGATTATAAGCAGTAATCGGAAAGATTAGGGTCTGAAGATGTTATTCAAGGAGTATAACCCAGTGAAATAAATTTGGGAAGAGAAAAAGGATAGGGACATGAAGAATTCAGAAGATTGGAATTTGGCAGAACACAAAGAGTGGATGCACCTTCGCCATTGCAAATGATTTTTAGCCGTGTCATTTAAGGTCTCTAACCATCGATTGCTATCATCTCGCGAATTCCAACCAGGTAGTCTACACCTACCAACATGGTTCAGTCCACTTGTCAGTGACTTCATGGATTTATGCCATGTTTGGGTTTGCCCGCCCCTGGCTTTCTTCTGACCCACTCCTACACCATAAAACATCGCTCATTGGGGCAGTCGGTGGTTGGACATACGTAACACATGACAGTCATAAGCTCTAACTCGACCAGTTGTGTTCGAGTAGAGAGCCTTTATGAGATTAATGTACTTCCTTGGTATTCCTTTCATTGACAAACACTGCCACAGAACCTCACTATCAACGGAGTCAAATGCCGCCTTAAGTTCGGGAAATACGACTATGTTGGGACGTTTGAATGTGTGTCTATGCTCTAGGACCTGACGTAGAGTGAATATCTGGTCTATACAACCTCATCCAGGTCGAATATCACCCTGGTTTCCTCTAGTCTACTCTTCACGAGCTTTGTTTAGGCGTCCAAGTATTATTGAAGCTAATATTTTAGACACTATATTAGTCAAACTGATTCCTCTGTGATTGTCACAAGAGGACTTTTGTCCTTTCTTATAGACTGGCACAATCAGTGACTGGAACCAGTCAGATGGAATTACGTCCAGTTCCCAGATTCTGCCTAAGACATCAGTCAATCTCGCTGTTAATACTGAACCGCCGTCCTTAAAGATCTCAGGGGTAAACCTGTCAGGGTCTGCGGCTCTCCTACGCTTCCGATTTCCCAGTTTTTTCGACTTCGTAAAGAGTTGGTGGACTTACATCTATTTGACATTCACGTCGATTGGGGATCGTGGGTAACTGAAGTGTGACTGAAGGCCAGTTGAACTGATTCCTAAAGTGTTCTGCCCATCGATCCAATCTCTTGGATTGAGAATGAATGACATGTCCATCTTTTTCCGAGATAGTTTCCCTAACAGTTGGGTTCCTAATGCCGGTTTCTTTAATAAGTCTGAATGGCTGTCTCCTGTTACCTAATGCTACCCACCACTGTTCGCAACCATTGTATGGGCTTCTACTAGAGCATGATCAGAGTCTAAACATGTATTCCAGAATGAGTGGCAGTCTAACGATGACTGATGGCAACACGGTCTATTTAATTCCATTGCTCGTCTGGTGCAGGGGGTCGCCATTTTAGACTCCAAAGCCGTCTGGTTTTAATGTGCAAGCAAGAAGTGTCAAGAACTTGAAAACAACAGCCAATTCTATGACTGCTGCAAAATCCAAAGGCACGAGAAGGAAAGTAGATAGTCTTTCAGGGCAGAATTACAAGACCGTACGCAAAAGAAACAATGATGTAATTGTCTAGGCAAAAACATCGCCCAATAACTGATTTTCTACAATCTACGAAGGGTCTGCTAGAAATGGTTGATAAATGTATGGTTCATATCCAATCCAATCACAACAACCAAATACGTTACAAGGGCCTAGGTGAGTCCGCTTCAATTTCGACTGTTAATCCTAATATTTATTTATTTACTTAAACATATATATATATATATATATATATATATATATATATATATATTGGTACAAGAGGGCATTAGATACATATGTGCCACAAAATAATGAGAATGGGAGGAGAAAGGGGGAAGATGCGTATACATAAGGAAGAAAAAAGGATAAAAAAAAAAGAGAAGAGTAATGATGGGGGAACTGAAATGTACAACCAGAAGAATTTTTTTCATTTAGGAAAGTTACAGCCACTTTTTATGAAGAAAGTAAAAGAAGGTTACGGCAGGATTGCCACTGGTTTCTACTTTGAGCCATATCTGATAACGTCTCTAGCCACTGTGTTGCACCATCTCTCGGACCCCAGCCAGGGAGTCGTGAAGGACCAACAGAAGCTAGCCCTTTGCAGCTCTCTTTCATGCCACGACACCATGTCATACACTGACCTCCTCTCCGCTTTTTCCAACCAGTCCCAGGGTCGGCAAATAATGCACGACGTGGAAGTCTCTGGGACGACATTCGTAAAACATGTCCAAGCCACCGAAGTCGGTGTTTCAAGATGGTGACACCAATTGAACTATCGTCTCTGCGCCCAAACACACGATGCCGAACATCTGCATTACTAACATGGTGTAGCCACTGGATGTCAGCAATCCTTCGGAGACAACGATGATCGAACACAGAGAGTCGTCTAACATCCTCAACTCGGAGAGTCCAGGTTTCACAAGCATGGAGCAAAACTGCTCTCACCGAC